GTACTCACTTTACTCACTGCACCTCGCGTGCAGATGCAGGTATTTGTTTACCCGGTAGCGGGTTTGAGCTGGTTGAGGATTTTGCTATCGTAGCTGAGCAAGGTGACCGCCAGCGTTCGCGGCACCGGATTTCTTCTTTTTGATTCTAAATTTTAATCCATGTATTACCGACCTTGTAGTTGTATTAAAAATCCTTCTAGATGCTCGTGACTTGTGACACCCCGGTCGGGCTGTGTTGGGATTGTTCCCTGTTTTTATCACTTTTCTTCCGCACTTGTGGGAATTTTATTAATGGTTAGGACTTATTCATGCTAAGTATTTATTAAAGAGTTATTGGTGTTCTGTTGGCTGGCCTTATCTTCACGAGAGGCGCCATCACGACCGGGTTTGGAAATTGGGTCGTGACACCTGAGCCCTCGGGGCTCCAAACCAAACATGCACACAAGTCCAAAAACATCATACGGACTTGCTCGTGTGATCAAATCATCAAAATAACATCAATAACTATGAATTGAGCATCAAAATCAAAGAAAAATCTCATGAACTCTTAAGCTCAAATTTTAACAACCGAAGGTCCGATTCACGTCATTTCAAGTCCGTTTCTTACCAAATTTTTTTATAGGCTCAACTTAAATCACGTATAAGACCTGTACCGGACTTCGGAACCAAAATACGGGCCCGATACCATCAAATTCAATTACATTTAAATTTCCAAAAACTCTAAGAATTTCTGTTAAACAATTTTCTTTAAAAATTTATTTCTCGAGCTTGGGACCTCGAAATTCGATTCCGGGCATACGCCCAAGTCCCATATTTTCCTACGGACCCTCCGGGACCGTCAAATCATGGGTCCGAATCTGTTTACCCAAAATATTGACCGAAGTCAACTTAAATTTATTTTAAAAGCAAAATTTATTATTTTTCACAGATTTTCACATAATGGCTTTCCGGATACACGTTCGGACTGCGCATGCCAATCGAGGTGAGGCAAAAAGAAGGTTTTAAGGCCTCGGAACATAGAATTTACTTTCAAAACGAGTGATGACCTTTTGGGTCATCACATGTTTTGAGTGATTCGAAGGTTCGAATAAGTTCGTATGATGTTATGGGGCGTGTTGGTGTGTTTGGTTGAGATCCCGAGGGCCTCGGGTAGATTTTGGGTGATTAACGGAACAAGATTGAAGTTTGAAGGATTGCTGAAGTTGGCTTGGTTCTGGTGTTTTCGCACCTGCGGTGGGGAGCCCGCAGGTGCGGTCCCGCAGAAGCGAATAGGTGCTCGCAGATGTGGGCAAGGGTGGTTTGGACTGGAAGCGCAGGTGCGAGGGTTGGTATGCATCTGTGTAAGCGCAGATGCGGAAGGAGAAGCGCAGATACGGAAAGGCGTAAGAAGGCAAGGATCGTAGAAGCGGGCGGGGCCCGCAGGTGCATGTGTTTGACCACAGATGCAGACTCTGAAAGCTTAAGTGGGATCCGCACCTGCGATGGATTTTTCGCAGGTGCAGCATCGTAGAAGCGACAAACAGACCGCATGTGCGGTTTTGCTGGACAGAAGGTATAAATTGAACACTTCGAGTTTTTTCACCATTTCTATCATTTTTGAGCTCAGATTTTGGGAATTTTGAGAGGGATTTTGAAGTAATCACTGAGGTAAGGTCCTTGTGCTTATTTATCTTCAATAACGGTATTTCCTCACTGATTTTACAATTAGTTGGTGAGTTTTTGAGGTGAAATTTGAGAGATTAGGACTTGAGAATTGGAGAGCGAGTTTTGGGGATTTGGAGGGGCAAATGATGTCGTATTTTGATGAATTTAGTATGGTTAGACTCGTGAGTAAGTGGGCTTTCGGGTTTTGTGACTTTTGTTGAATTTCGAGATGTGGGCCCGGGGGCCGGGTTTGAGTCGATTTCGGATTTTGGCTCTAATTTAGTAGTTTTCTTGTGGAATTGATTCTTTTAGCCTTTATTGATTGTGTTGTATTACTTGTAGGGAGACTGCATTCACGCAAGTATTGGTAGGTCTTTTATTTAAAGGTTCAAACAAGAAATTAAGGAAATGGGTTTGTACATCATGAACAATTTTGTGGTATATCCAAATAATATGAAGTTTATGACCAAATACCACAAATTTAAGTTGATGTTCACGCATAAGACCTTTGTTGACGAAATACATGATCCACATTTCAACATGTGTATTTTCAAATTTAGAACCTATGAGCAGCTGTCAAATCCCCAAAAATTTTACAATACCGAGTTATTTGGTAATTAAATTTCTCTCAATTTTTTCCACTTTTATTTTACTTTGCCTTATTTTTTTTCTATCTTATGAGTTCTAAGTGTGAATTAAATCAGTACTAATTACAGTACATAAGATCAAAGATTAAGTTTTAGATTAAAGCTGAATTTCTTGACATTGTTAAATCCTCTGTCGAAAATCATAATCTAATTTCTAGAAGGCCTTTGAAGGCGTATGGAACTAAAGAAAGGTTAGTATTGTACAATTTCTCTGAAGATCTCCATTACATGTGTATAGTGTTGGTACTACTTTACATAGTATTTACAGATAGTATTTCAGTGGTTTTATGAGGGACTAAAGTTAGCTTTTGATCTCTTACTTCCATAGGTAGCTGATGGAGTTCATGCCCACAGTTTACTACGCATTCTCTGAAACCTTCCCTTTTAACAAAACTCAAAAAAATTGATACATGTTGCCTTTGAAATATACATCTAAGTGTTTAATTCCTTTACAATCTTCATTTATATTGTCTATAATGATTACTAATGTAGCACATATTTCCTTGCTTTGTAGATGTCATTGGCGAAGTTGTGAGTTATGAGGACGTACAATCTATCAAGCAAGATGATAACATCCGTATGTACATGAACATTGAGATACAAGATTATGAGTAAGCTCGCCACAAATTATTCAACTAAGTAAATATTTCAACAATTCTTTATTTTGATTCCTATGCTTAACCTTATAATAGTTGTAGGAGTAACAACATTTCTGCAACTCTTTGGGGAGACTTTGTGGAACAGATCAAGCCATATTTGAATGGATCCAATGATAAGTCTGTTGTCGGCGTCATGCAATTGATTAGAGCACATCGATATCGAGGTTATCAAATTGTCTACTTTGCAATACAATGTCTCTATACAATTAGTAAACTCTTAAAAATTACTTTTAAGCGTGCAGAACAATATTCGGTGAGGAACACTTGGCACGCGTCGAAGCTATGGATCAATTCAAATCTTCCTCAAGTTGTTAACTTTTGCTCCAGGTCTCTATAAGTTGGGCTAAATTTAAGGCTATTTCATCCTCAATTTTAGTCTTAAAATTTATTAACGTATCTCAAGTTAAAAAATGAATCAGAATGGTTTCTGTGCGTGGAGAAAGCTCACAAAGAATTACTCAAATTTCATCTCGCAAAACTCACTCTGTTGCTAATGAGCTAGCATCTGGAAGTATTTAAGTTAAAAATATTGAGGATTTGGGTGACTGTAACCATGTGAGTAGCTACTTTTTAATTTTTTTTACTTTTAATTACTACAACTTTTATCTTATCTCTCTCTACATAACAATTGTATATACAATTTTTATGCGCAGCCAAGAAAGTTCTGGGTTGTAGCAACTATTGTACACGTTGAATTAGACCGTGGATGGTGCTATCTAGCTTGCAAAAATTGCGCAAAAAACTAGAAAAAGAGTGGAATAAATTCTATTGTAAAAAATGTGAGCAGATTCAATCTGCCACTCATAGGTATGATTGTAATTTATAGTTTCTTTACTATTATATGATTTTAAAAATACAAACTCTTTCCAGGTACAGGTTGCAAGTTAAAGTGCTGGATTGCACCGACACAATTTCTTTGCTGTTGCGGAATAAGGATGCAACTAAGATTATCGGAAAATCAGCAAATGATTTAAAGGATGCTGTATTTGAGGTATAATACAATTGCTTAGAAAAATAAGACCATCAACGTTGAAAGAAGTGGTACATGATCCATTCCCCTGCATCTCTTTCCCGTCTTATTTATTGGGTAGTTCACTTTGTGTCTATATGCATGTGAGGACTGATAATCGGGAATGACACAAGAAGGGAGAAAGTATATCTTTTACTTAGATATAATTCTACATGTGTTTATAGTTATTTTGGTTTTTTTCTGCAGTGTATTCTTCTTTAAATTTTCTGCCTATATAATAGAGGTAGAAATAGTCCAATATGTTGAATGATCCTATTCTAAGAATTTAAGGAGCCAACAATTAAGGTACGAGATGTCTGGATCTTTCACTTCTAAGAGAAAGATTATAGTAAAATCTATCTCTCCCAAACGAGTTGTTAGAGGATTACAAATACAAAAATAAAAATGAAACATTCAATCTAATTTATCATATACATATCTCAACATAATAGTGGTATATTTGTAATGTAATTTTAGAGACCATTAATATTTTAGAAATATAATAAATTTTTAAAATAGGTAATTTTAATAACGATTAGAATTATTGTACGTATTACTATAATAATAATCATTAAAAACAATGCTAAAACTTTCTTGAAAGGTTTCATCCATAATTAGTATATACTGTTGAGAGTACTCGAGATTACCTAATTAGAGTTAGCTTAAGTAGAGTTAATATTATTAGTAGTTAAGAAAGTGGTTAGTTAGTTAGTTATGCTTTGTGTATAAATAGTACAGTAGAAAGAGAAGGGTAGTTTGTACAGTGCAATTCATTTTTTCAGTTAATACAGAGTTATGTTCTCTCAGCTAATCTTCTAGAAGCTTCCTTCTCTTCTTCATCAGAGCTTCATCTTCCATAGCTATGAAAGCTAACATGGTATCAGAGCTTGCGTCTCCCATCTAAGCTCATTATTCCGCTTGTTCGTCCATGAGTCACTTCAATTCATACGTTGTGTTGAATTGTCTCAAAGTGACAGAGTATCGAAAGGGTTCTTTGAAATCACTCGAAATCGAGTTGAATTGAACTCAAGGTAACTAGAAATGGCAATTACAAATGATGAGAACAATCACTCACCAGCAAATGAATCCCCGACGACCAGTGCAACTAGATTTGCCACAATCGATCATAATCACCCTCTCTACCTTCAACCTACAGATACTCCAGCCAGCTCTCTGATTTCTCTTCAATTGACAGGCTCAGATAACTATGCTATATGGAGTAGATCTATGCGAATTGGTTTGTTAGGCAAAAGCAAGTTTGGTTTTGTGGATGGAAGGTACCCTAAGTTTAAATTTGTACCTGATCTACATGACCTATGGGAAAAGGTGAATGCTATGGTTTTGTCGTGGATAATGAATGCAGTACGACCAGGATCGCTAAGTACTGTTTTCTATGCGTTAAATGCTCACAAGGTCTGGAAAGATCTGAAGGAAACGTTTGATAAAGTGAATAGATCTAGAGTCATTCATCTCCACAGGGAGATTCATACTCTCATTCAAGGAACTATGTCTGTTGCTGACTATTTCTCTAAGCTTAGAGACTTGTGGGGTGAGTTTGATCCACTCATGCCTTGCCTGGATGTCCCTACCTAGAATCCAAGAAGTATGCTGCTCATTTTGAATATCACAGACTTCTACAGTTCCTCACAGGCCTAAATGATTCTTATTCACAAGCTAGGAGTCAGATGATGATAATGTCTGCAGTTCCTAGCCTCAACAAACCCTACTCCTTACTTGTTGATCTTGAGAGCTAGAGGAGCCTAGTAAATTTCACACAGGTAGTGCAAGTTGCAGAAGTTGCTGAAGGTAATGCAATGTTCAGTAACAGAGGTCTAGTAACTGCAAGGGGAAATCCCAGGCCTCAGAAGAAGATCCCTCAGTGTGATTACTGCCATTGCAAAGGACATACAAAGGAGACCTGTTACAAGTTAGTTGGTTATACCCCAGACTTCAAGTCTAAGAAGAAAGGAGGTAGTCCTGGAGTGTATGCAAATTATGCAAGTCCTGGTGATGCCTACCAGTTACTAGCAACAATCCAGAAATGGCCTTTGGAATGCAGAATCAGCAGAATCACCAAATACCTCAGCAGCTTGTTCAACACCCCACTCCTTACTTTACACAGGAGCCTCCACAATCAGTAATTCAGAAGTCTGTTCAGCAACCAGCTCCCTTCTTCGCACAGGAACAGTATCAACAAATTGTTCAGCTGCTTGACAAAGGCATAGATGAAGGCACCTCTTGCAAGACTGCAGCAGCAGGTACTCTGATTACCCTGGTATCTCAATTTGTTAACAATAGATGGATAATAGATATTGGAGCTTCAAACCACATGACATCCACCCTGCAGTTATTAAAATCTTGTCAGCCTGTTCCAGAGTATGAGAGAAACAAAGTACATTTACCTACAGGAGAAGTAGCATTAGTTACACACATAGGAAAATCCTCTGTGTTCACTAATCAGGACATCAGTGATGTTCTATATTTACCGGATTTCAAGTACAACATGCTTTCAGTATCTAAACTTACCAAGGAGTTACATTGTTTATTGGCATTCTTCCCTGACTTCTGTATCTTTCAGGATCTCTACAGTGACCAGGTGAAGGGGATTGGTAAGTAGGAGCTGGGACTCTACATACTGCAGGGAAGCTCACTGCAAGGAAGTTCATTACCTACTACAGCTAAGTCTTCAGACAATGTAGTTAATGCAGTCAATAAAGGTGGTGTTATAGCTGATAGTGAGAACAATAATAGTAGTGCTAGTGTTTCTGGTTCTTGTTCACAATGGAATATGAGATTATGCCATGCACCTATTGAGGTGATTAGAAAGCATGAGTTTCTTAGCAAACTAAAATCATGTGATGAATCATTTTGTACTGTGTGCCCTTTGGCCAAGCAAACAAAATTACTTTTTCAATTGAGCACTACTGTCTCACAAGCTGCATTTGAATTAATACATTGTGATGTTTGGGGACCTTACAGGGTCCCAACATATGATGGGAAAAGATTCTTTGTTACAATTGTAGATGACTTCACTAGACACTCTTGGATCTGCCTAATTGTCTCTAAGGCAGACACCATATTTGTGCTAAGAGATTTCTGAATAAGGTGAAGAATGTATTCTCTAGTTCAGTGAAGACTCTAAGGACAGATAATGGAGGTGAATTCTTCAGTCATGAGGTCAAAACTCTAGTGTCTGAATTTGGGATTAATCATCAGAGCACATGTGTCTACACCCCACAATAGAATGAGGTTGCTGAAAGAAGACACATAACTATTCCAAATATGGCTAGATCCCTCAGATTCCAGGCTGCAATACCACTAACGTTCTGGGGAGAGTGTGTGACCACAGCTGTTTATCTGATCAGCAGACTACCCTCAAGAGTCACTGCTGACAAATCTCCATTTGAAATGTTGTACTCCTATGCTCCCTCACTGTCTCATCTGAAAGTATTTGGGTGTTTATGCTATGCTGCTACTCCCAAGATAGCAGACAAGTTGCCTCGAGAGCTTTGCCCACAGTGTTCATGGGATATGTTACTACCCAGAAGGGGTACAAATTGTATGACCTTCACTCTCAGAGTTTCTTAGTAAGCAGACATGTAGTGTTTTAGGAAAACATATTTCCTTTCAAACACATGAAAGCAGCAGGACATCCAGTTTTTCCAGTTCTGGATCTTATGTCCTCTAATGGTGTACAATATGGGATTGGGAACAGCCATGGTCCATGTCCTTCTACTGACTCATCTGAGTCTCCTGCTACCCGTTCACCTCCTAGTGAGATTCTGCACAGTTCACTGATACATCAGAGGTAGAAGTTGATACAGCTGGTCAACCTTCTTCATCATCAGGCATTGATCATACTATGCCTGCACAAGTTCCCTCTTCAGCTGAAACCTCTCCAGTGGGTCCTCGAAGGTCCTCTAGCCCAAGTAAGCCCCCTTTATGGCTACAAGACTATGTAACCAAAGGCTTCAAGAAATCTTGCCCATATCCCTTATCATCATATGTATCCTATAAATAACACAAGCCAGTATATCTACAAGCCCTTTCTGCTTATTCATCCTTGTCAGAACCAAAGACATTCGGAGAAGCCTCTGTTGATCCAAAGTGGATAGAATCCATGAAATTGGAGATAGCTGCCTTGGAAGACAATCATACGTGGAGCATTGTTTACTTGCCACCTGGTAAGGTGTCAATTGGATGCAAGTGGATCTTCAAAATTAAGTATAGAGCTTCAAGGGAGGTGGAGAGATACAAGGCTCGTTTGGTTGCCAAAGGCTACAGTCAAAGAGAAGGTCTTGACTATAATGAGACCTTCTCCCTAGTAGCCAAGATGGTGACAGTCCGGACTGTGGTAGCTCTTGCTGCAGGTAAGCAATGGACTATCTATCAGATGGATGTCCATAATGCCTTTCTCAATGGAGAGCTACTGGAAGAGGTGTATATTCATGTTCCTGAGGGGTTTAGCAGCCAGTGGGAGTCCTTGAAGGTCTGCAAACTTCACAAATAACTATATGGGCTTACAAGCACCTGGACAATGGAACAAGAAGCTGACAAAGTCATTGCTGCCGATGGGGTTCCTAGAGAGTCACTATGACTACTCCCTATTTACAAGAAGGTAGGTAGTGATCTAACAGTGATACTAGTCTATGTTGATGATCTACTCATCACAAGCAACAATCAATCTCTACTGAATCAAACAAGAAAAGATCTACACAGCAAGTTTCAAATGAAGGATCTAGGTGAGTTGAAGTTCTTTCTAGGATTGAGTTTGCAAGGTCCAAGAAAGGGATTGTAATGTGCCAAAGGAAGTATGCACTTGAAGCCATCTCTGAATCAGGGCTAGGGGGAGCAAGACCAGCAGGAACACCACTTGAAGTAAATCAGAAGCTAACTTCTGAAGAATATGATAGATGTATAAAAGGTAGTGAGGAGCATGCAGATAAACTACTCAAAGATCCAGGAGGTTATCAAAGACTAGTGGGCAGACTTCTATATCTAACCATGACAAGACCTGACATAGCATTTGTGGCACAAGTGCTAAGTCAATACATGCATTGACCAAAGGAGTCTCATGTTACCGCCTTGTCGTCTTGGGTTGGGAAGGATACGACATGCTCAATTCAAGGACACTCAATTTCAGGCTTACGAAGCTCTGACGCTTTCTGTCGCATTTGTTCTCTCTTTTGTTTGTTCTCTCTTTTGTTTACCTTTCATTTTCACTTTCTTTGGAAGCAGCACTTAGAGTAGTCAGATATCTAAAAGAAGCCGCAGGGTTAGGGCTGTTGATGCCTACACAGAATTCAAATAAGCTAAGTGCTTATTGTGACTCAGACTGGGGAGCATGTTTGCAAACCAGGAGATCAGTGACAGGATACTTAGTAAAGTTTGGGGATGCACTAATCTCTTGGAAGTCAAAGAAATAAGAGACAGTGTCCAGAAGCTCAGCTGAAGCCAAGTTCAGAAGCATGGCTTCATATACAACTGAAATAACTTGGCTTGTTCGTTTGTTCAAAGAGCTTGGAGTGGATGTGGATTTACCTGTGAAGCTCAAGTGTGACTGTAAGGCTGCAATTCAAATAGCAGCCAATCCAATTTTCCATGAAAGAACCAAGCACATAGACATTGACTGTCATTTCGTAAGAGAAAGGATTACACACGGAATACTGAAGACAGAGCATGTATCACCAAGGAACAACTGGCTGATCAACTCACAAAAGGACTAGAAAAACTTCAACATGATTACCTACTGGGTAGACTTAGAGTACTGAACATGTTCAAGCCAGTGGCTTGAGGGGGAGTGTTGAGAGTACTCGAGATTACCTAACAAGAGTTAGCTTAAGAAGAGTTAATGTTATTAGTAGTTAAGAAAGTGGTTAGCTAGTTAGTTAAGCTTTGCGTATAAATAGTACAGTAGAAAGAGAAGAGTAGTTTGTACAGTGCAATTCATTTTTTCGGTTAATACAGAGTTCTGTTCTCTCAGCTAATCTTCTAGAAGCTTCCTTCTCTTCTTCATCTGAGCTTCATCTTCCATAGCTATGAATGCTAACATATACGTCATGTTAATAAGAATTGAAGTTATTATTAAAATATTATATTAAAAATAATATAGAGAACAAATTTAATTTCTAGTTGTGCGTACTATCACAATAATAATTATTAAAACTAAAAATTTCACAAAAGGCTTTACCGATAATAATTAGTACAGTAGAACACGAAAAATTATTAAGTCTAAATTATAAATCTTTATATTTATAAAGGTATGGATTGTTATTTTATTCCATAAAATAAATACAAATATTGAACGGAAGAAAAGGATGAAAAAAATTAATTTTATATCTTTATATTTATAAAGGTGTGGACTATTATTTTATTCCGTAAAATAAATACAAATATTGAAGGGAAAAGATGAAAATATATTTAAAAAAATATAAGTTATTTGTAAATAATAAAGTGAACAACTACTATAATAGTCTACTAAATCAGACATGATTTTCGTTACAAGTATGTTGGAAAAAATGATCATCCTTTTAATAATAATAATGCTAACTTCATATGTCACGACCCAAAATCCACTAAGAGTCGTGATGGCGCCGGACACCACTGTCAGGCAAGCCAACACCATATAACTTATAAATTTTCATTTTAATATTTTAAAAATCATTTCTTCCAAACATTAAACAATGAATAATAAACTTCACTGAATAAATAATGATGTCTTTACAAAATTTATTTACTGAATAATCCCGAAATTATCCCAGAACCCAATGTCACAAGTGCATGAGCAATCACTAGGAAATCAAATGAAGTACAATAACTGGCGGAATACAAATCTGGACAGAAAGTAAATACAATACACTGAAAAAGACTATGCTGGCTACGGGTCGCCTCGAGAGATGCAGCTCACCTAAGTCTCCGTATCATCCATGATGCTATGCGCATAAGGCCACTAAAGGTACATGTGCCTGTGCAACAAAAATGCACAGCAAGTGTAGCATGAGTATAAAAACAACGTGTACTCAGTAAGTATCCCATCTAATCTCGAAGAAGTAGAGAGGTCGACTTCGACACTTACTAGTGGTCCAATAATAATAATATACCAATAATATAGTAAATCGAGGATTTTCATAAAAATGGCTGTGTAACTCAATAGCATGAGGCGAGTAAACAATTATTTCGCTCATAGGAAATTCCCAAATTCATTTTCATCATTTATACATTTATCTCATGTCAGGGAGAACAAATATCAACATCTATGAATTTCAAGGCAAGCAATACAAGCATGCGCAAATTATGCCGAGGTCGTATGGCCCGATCCAATAAATATTTAAACTGTGCACTGCTAGAGGGTCGAATGGCGCGAACCATAGATGCATCTATTTAATCTACCGAGGCGTTCGGCCCGTTCCACAATAGATAAACACATTCAAACAGTCAAATCAAGAATTCATCAAGGAGCAATTATTCAGGAAAAGGAAAGTTTCTCTTTTAAAAGTCAAGAAATGATGTCTAGCCTTTTAGAAATTTATTTATACGTTCGATATGTTTTAAGCATTTTTTTTAAATTGACAAGGTTGCAAATATAACAAGTAAAGCATGCTTTTGGGCCCTAAACTACCTGGACTTAAGCATAATAGTAGCTACGCACGGACTCTCGTCACCTCGTGCGTACGTAGCCCCCACAAATAGGAGCACATATCAAATTAATTCACCTATGGGGACAATTCCCTCTTACAAGGTTAGAAAGGAGACTCACCTCGCTCCGAAGTTCCATAACCGACATTTCACGCCCTTCCGAAGAGTCAAACCGATGCACAACACTCCAAAACTAGCCAATTATTATGTAAACCCATTAATATATGTTCAATTACTCATAATAATCCAATTTAATACAATTTCAAACCCCGATCGAAAAGTTGACAAAATTGCCCTCGGGCCCACGTGCCCGGATTCCGAAATTTTTTGAAGATAAAGTTCGCCCACAACCTTACGAACTCAAATGTATAATTTACTCTCAACTTCATATCCAAAATCGTGGTAAATATCCAAGAATACCAATTGTCTAGGTTTTTCCTTCAAACCCCAAGTTCTACTAATTTACATGTTAAACATATACATAATCAATGTATTTAACTCATAAAAGGTGGGGATGGCTTACCTTTCCATTGACATTGAAAAACCCCTCTTGAAACCCTCCAAGAATCTCCCAAACCAAGAGTAAAATGAAGGAAAATGGGCCAAATCCCGTTTCTAAAAGAACACACTGCCTCCAGCCTTTCCGCACCTGCGGTTACTTGACCGCTTCTGCGATTCCGCAGGTGCGACCCCACTACCACATCTGCGGTCCTTCACTAGGCCCCCCTCATTCCGCTTCTGCGCTTCTCCTTCTGCAGGTGCGGCTCCGCATCTGCGGTCCCAGCCTAGCCCAACCACTTCCGCTTTTGCGGCTCCGCACTTGCGGCCCAAGCCTCGCAGGTGCGGTTACATCAGAAGGCAGCTGGTTCCTTCCTTCTTCAAATTCTAAGTTTGACCCGTTAACCATCCGGAATCCACCCGAGGCCCCCGGGACCCCGACCAATCATACCAACCAGTCCCAAACCATAATGCGGACCTGCTCGAGGCCTCAAATCACGAATCACACCCCAATTCGAGCTTTAGGAACTTTAGAACTTCAAACTTCTACATTCGATGCCGAAACTTCTCAAATCACGCTCGATTGACCTCAAATTTGCACATATTTGAAATTACAGACCTACTCCAACTTCCGGAATCGGAATCCGACCCCGATAACAAAAAGTCCACTTCCGGTCAAACTTCCCAAAAACCTTCAAATTTCTATCTTCAACCAAATGACTCCAAAATTACCTACGGACCTCCAAATCCATTTTCGATCGCACTCCCAATACCAGAAGCACCATACAGAGCTAATCCCGGACTCGGAATCCATAACGAACATCGATAGCATTGAAATGAACTCCAACCCAAATTTATGAAATTCTCCCAAAAATGCTAACTTCCACAATAGGCGCGGAAACGCCCCCGTATCATCCAAAACCCGATCAGGACATACGCCCAAGTCCAAAATCATCATACGAACCTGTTGGAACCTTCAAATACCGATTCTGAAGCCGTTTACTCAAAACTCCAATCTTAGTCAATTCTTCGAACTTAAAGCTTCCGAAATGATAGGTTTCTCTCCCAATCAACTTCGAACTTCCCGGGATTCTATTATGACCACCCGTATAAGTCCTAATACCTGAAGTGAAGAAGCTCATGGCCTCAAACTACTGAATGACGCACTATGGCTCAAAACGACCAGTCGGGTCATTACATTCTCTCCCACTTTAACATACGTTCGTCCTCGAACGTGCTAAGAATTGCGCTGGAGTTGTCCGAAATCACAGTTAAACACTTTGTGTACCTACCCGTGCCACCACCACTCAGTTGAGCACATTAGCTCGATCAAATCTGAAGATATTCTCTTTTATTCAAGCAAATAAGCTTAGAACCCAAATTTCAACACCCGAAACTCTCTGCCAGCCTGCTTCCATCCTACGAACACCGTATCAATTACCACACGATGCACCGATACATGATTGTATACCTTTTCTGAATTCACACTATGCACCGCATAACTCTCATTACCATAATATCATCCTCCGATAACGATAGCCAAAACTCAACGAATCTGATGCTCCCAATGCACCTCATGACTTATATAAGTCTTGCCCCAACTTTTGCATTACCGCCACGACGGAAAAGATGTGTAGAAATTCATAACCAACTTCCGAGTCGACAACCCGTTGAGTTTATGATCCTGGCAAGAATCATTACCTCATTCTGAACCAAATAACGGTACTTGCTCTTTAATATACTTCATATAATCTGATCGCGCTGATCCTATATCCAACAATCTCATCTTACCTAGTACGATCTGCTCGGGAAATAAGCCACCCCAGACATGACCAAAAGTCTCATATGATGCCACAACGTGCCAATAAGCTACAAACTCGAACGTGATACATAAGAAAAATGAACCCTTGAAGGGACTACTCAACCCACGCAACTAATATGAACCATCCTCAGAAAATGGGAGGCAAAACACATAAAAATTAGAATATAGGGGACTGAACTCAACATCACACTGTTCCGGCGTGCAACCCGATCCAAACAACGTACGACTCACATAAGGAGATACCCACCGAGCTGAATTGCTCATTATTACTAAACACCGAATATCGGTTGCAAGCACGCTAAGTGCATAATATCGTCCCTGGGGAGACATATACGACACAATATAACATTACATGAAATAGCCGACGACGTAATAGCATCCGACATCCGATTACTCCTTCATAAAGAGCGTTATGCTGAAATGAACACATCCGGCCCGATATAGAGCCCACCTTCATATTAGATCCTTACA